GGAGGGTCAGGTGCCGCTGGCCTAGCGCTAGGCCCGCAGGACGCCGCTCCACCTCTAGCCGAAGCCGCAGCCCAGCACCCACCGCGGATGTCGCGGGCCCAGCTCTCCGGGAGAAGGCCCTGCGCCCGAAAAGCGGCGCGAGGCGCCGAGCCACGCAGACAAGCGGCCCCATCGCCGCGGCCGCAGCGCGCAGACTTCGCGAGGCGGGGCTTTACCCAGCCGGAGCAAGATCTCTGCTTTCGATTGGTCCGGTCAATCCAGCGCAGCCTGGAAATTCTACGACAGTTGTGTGGGCGGAGCCAGGGTCCGGAGGCCGGGCTGTGGGCAGAGCCAGGGTCCGGAGGCCGGGCTGTGGGCGGAGCTAGGGTCAGGGGGCCAGGCTGTGGGCGGAGCTAGGACCAGGAGGCCGAGGGGCCGGGCTGTGGGCGGAGTCTGGGATCCCAAGGGCTGCAGAGATAGGCGGAGACCGCGTGGGACTGAAGTTTCCCAGGGTTTAAGAGCCGTTTTCTAACTCTCTTTTAAAAGACTGTCTCCGTCCACTAAATGTAAGCAAAGTCAGAAGTGTTTTGTTTTAACGTGTTCTCTACACAGCGCCCGAGACAGCTCCTAGTACTGAATGTACAGAAGTTACCGCTGTTGGTTAGACTGAAATTAAGGCATATAATTTCCTGCCTCTCCCATTACCAATGATCAAGATTTCTTTGCCAATTGGAATCCTAGAGGAAAATCTATTATCTTGGGCAACGGTGTGGGACAGGGGCAGGCAGAGGTCAATACTTCATCCAAATTCCTTGTGGTTAAATTTCTTCCCACTGACAACGGAAACCACCTCTGTGAGAATACAGAATGCAGAGGTGCTGTTACAGCATGAAATCATAGGGTTTGAGAAATGAAAGACACCCATGGAGGTGGGGGGGGAGGGGTGAAGGAACAACCTGTCCAGGATCATAGACTTAGTGGCTAAGTTGGAACCAGAAGCTCTGGTCCTGAATTCCAGGCCTGGTAACTAACTGAAAGGAAGGCTTCAGAGAGGGCACAGAGAAGGGACCAAGTAATCCCAAATGCCTAAAACAGTGTCAAGCACATAGTAGGTACTCCAGAAATGTTCAATATGTTATCTATTTTATTTTGTGTTACTCTTTTATTTATTTTTAGATTTTTTTTCCCCATAGGGTACTCATCAGAAAGAGACAGGAGAGAGAGGGGAGGGAGTGAGAAATCAACCCCAGGGAGGATGGCCACCCTGCAATCTCTTCTCCATTCTCCTGTCAGTATTTTGGGCATGTGCATGCATATACCTGATCTGTTTTTCAAGCCACTAAGGTCTGGGACTCGAATCTGCTGAGTTGACTATGTATGATCCAGCACTTTAACCACCATGCTACTGCCTGGCCCCTAATTTATTTTAAAGAAATAACTCCAAACAGTAGTTTTGGGGAAATTAAAGAAATACAGAAACTAATATAGCCATGGTGTGTGCATGACAAATATTTATAATTGTTTCAAGTTCATTTTGAAAATAAGAAAAATAAAATATTACAGATAAAGTTGCTTTTCTTTTCTTTCTTTCCTTTCTTTCTTTCCTTTCTTTCTTTCTTTCGGTAGAGGGTGCGTGCGCTTGCCAGAAAGACAGAGACAGAAGGCAAGAAATCGCCCCCTAGGGGGCATGGCCACACCGCAATCGCTTCTCCATTGTCCTCTTGGGATCTTGGGCACACACACAAGCTCCTCCATTCTCCTCTCCGGATCTTGGGCACACAAGCCCACGCAACCTGCTTGAGTTTAAGCCATGCGTACAGGACTCAAACTGCAGTTGACTACATGGAAGTCCAGCGACATAGCCATTATGCTAACTCCTGGTCCCATTAAGTTGCTTTTCTAGGGACCAGTAGATGTCATACTGGTTAACGTACTGTACTCCCTGGGACCAGCAGATGGCATAGTTGTTAGGTCGGTGGACTCCCATGTAGCCGCCTGTGGTTAGAGTCCTGGACCTGGTGGCTTGAAATTCATACCAGGTGTGGGACCAGCAGTTAGCGTAATGGCTATGTCGCTGGACTCCCACGTAGTCGACCGCAGTTCGCGTCCCGGACCCAGTGGCTTAAAACTCACACTGGGCGCATGTGTGTGCCCAAGATCCCGAGAGGAGAATGGAGGAGAAGGGATTGCGGCGTGGCCATCCCCCCTAGGGGGTGATTTCTCGCTTTCTATCTCTCTGTCTCTCTCGCTGGCTGGTGTGAGCACGCGCCCTATAGCAAAAACCTCAAAAAAAAAAAAAAAAAAAAAAACAAAATCATACCAGGTGTGTGGGTGGGT